TAATAAAGAAAAGGAAACTGACCGATTACAACATAAAATAATATGTTATTAAATATATATACATATATTTAATAGACTTACGTCTTATCATCTTCTGTCCAAACTGCAGAATTCCGACGAAAAATATGAATGAAAGATAACACACCGTAAGCAAAATTAACGCCAACTAAACGAAAGAAACATTGACATGGAGAGAAATAATACAACGGTTGGAAGGAGCCCTCTACTATAAGCTCCTTCTAGGAAACCAAACGATTCATTTGAACAAGACTTGCTCCCAGTTAGAGAAAAGAAAGACAGCAGTCGGCGAAAAACGTTTCTGGGATGAGTTACAAGAAAAGGACGTAATATTCAATCAGAAAACTACTAAGCCTCATGTTTTCAGGTGACCAGATTGAAAATGCCACACATTGGTTGGGAGGCTTACGGTCATACCACGTTGAAACGCCGGTTTAACTTAAGCAATGCCGAGCGTATTCAATACATAGATGGGTGACCTTTTAGGAATACCAGGTGCTGCAAACTTAGATGGTGTAATGGATAAGGAAAAGTTGAGTTTCATTTCCAGTCGGGTTCGTTACATTAAATTATGCACAAATTCCCGTGGCAAATGGCATAAATCAACATTTCCTCATTCCACCTAAGGGTTAATTACTATGACTTGTACTAGTAAAATCATTATTATCTCCAAAAATTTCTAACACTCTAAAAATAATTTTTGGCTTGATATATAAACTGAAGAATGGTTGATAAGCCGTAAAACAAATCAATCAAGAAATACAGATGTTGTGACATCTGCTATATATACCAGATATATACCAGATATATACCAGATATTGTAGTTCCGATTAGTCAGGTCTTTATAATCTTTTAATAAATGTTTTGGAAACATGAACAATAACAACAAAAATTCTAAATGAAATCGGCTAAACTATTGTCGTCGGCATCCGTCCGTCTCGAGAGACGATGGAGTAGCGTGGTGGGCTACGAGCCTGGCCGGGATATATGGAGAACTGCCCGGACGTCTAGTTCCCCCACTCGGCCTTGTTAGCGGAGGAGAGGATAAACCAATAGAGTTTGGTACCCAACGCGGCTGCAGGAGTTGCCAGAAGGTAGCACAAAGTGCCGTCTATCCGCCTTAGGGCTCCACTCCGGGTTTGAATTCAGAGTTGTCCTTCTCGTAGACCAGTTGCCATCCAAGGCTATAGAACCCAATCAGTCTTGCTATTTACCCATAGCTGGAAGGGGAAGAAGAGGATTCACACCTTTCCCAAGTGTATTAGCACGTAAGTGAATGTAATGGATTCGACTGGAATTCGATCTCGGCTTTCCGCGGATTCACACCTTTCCCAAGGGTATTAGCAGGTAAGTGAATGTAATGGATTCAACTGGAATTCGAACTCGGCTCTCCGATTCCTCAATTCAAGCCTCTATTCATTACTTCACCGTGCCTTCTCGGCTAAACGAAAAATCCAAAATATATACTTAAAAGGAATAATTAAATATAAAATTCTCAGCGACCCCCCTCTCCTCCATGCGCATGTGTAGTGACATCAACGTAAACATCACATTCGTCCGATGAAGTCCTAAAGGACAAAACACATCACACGACAACTTCTTCGACTTTGTCATAGATTTTTCCCCATTTGGAATTGTTGGTCAATTCCTTCTGACAACAATTCAAATATAAGGATCATATTATTCAAGGAATTGATAATAAGTTAATGTCTTATTAAGTCTTGTTAGCGAAGTGATTTCGCCATTTATCACATTAACATTGCTAATTAATTATTTGTATAAATTACTAATTTATGGTATAATATATAAGCGGCACACTAATGTGTGTGTGTATACACACACACACACACACACACACACACACACACACACACACACATATATATATATATATATATATATATAAAGAGAGAGAGAGAGAGAGAGAGAGAGAGAGAGAGAGAGAGAGAGAAAGTAAAAGGTTTATAAATCCGGTATATAATCCAAGTGGATCCTAGTAATAAAACTGATCCGCAAAAAGTGATGAATTATCTATTATTACAGAGCAAAAATTAATAAAGCATAAAATACAAAATCATCTCATATGGGGAATAAGATTATTTCGACAGTAGAAAATGAAATTCTTTAGTCTTATTCAACCATGATATAGACCCTATTGAGTCCATACCAGGCCTAAATAAGATTGACGAATTTTATTTTTTCGTCTGTTGAAATAAGCTTATTATTGTTTGTATGTATATATACATGCATACATATATATATATATATATACATATACATACATATATATATATATATATATATATATATATATATATTGTGTATACATATAAATATATATTTCATTGTGTGTATATATATATATATATATTGTGTATACATATATATTTTTTTTATATATATATATATATATATATATATATATATATATATATATATATATATATATATAGTTATATATATACACCGTAACATAGCATGATGAAAAATGATCTATATTTAAAGATAGAAAGTTTTATTTTAAAAATTACATTATTATCAAAAAAAAAAGACTAAACGTTTGAAATATTGGTTAAAAATTTTGATTTTTTTTGTCTCGGCAGCGAAGGGGTTCAAGTTTTTTATAAGAAATTTTAACCTTCTTTTTTACAATGAAAAACATTGATTTGGAAATTCTTTGAAAAATCAAATATTTGTTTGATTTTAATGAACCTTTCAGGAATTATTAATTAAATAATTAAATTATTTTGTAAATGTTTTTTTTTAGAAAACTTTGGTTAAAATATGTTTTAAAATCTGTAACCGACCTCCGCTTATTTAATTTTATTAAATTTCGAGAAATTAAATCTTTTAATTTATAATATATTAAAATAATTTTCATATATATATATATATATATATATATATATATATTAGTTATTATTTTTTAAAAATAGTGCTCGATACAAAAGTAGAGCATAAATATAATTAAAATATTACAATACATAGGAGTACAATATTTGTATGAAAACAAAACATTACAGTTAAATTTAATAAAAACTGAAAAAAAGTCAGTATTTTATTTCTAACGTTACAACGCAATAGTTATACTATTTGTAACAACGTTGCTTTATTAAATTTGTGGTATGTTAGCATCCGAGAGTTTGAAGGTTTTCAGGTTAGGTTGGTTTGGTTTGGTTTGGTTTGGTTTGGTTTGGTTTGGTTTGGTTTACGACATCTCAACCTCAATGGCTTATTTAATGCTGACAAGATTTTTATTGCTGATTTGTTTTGCTTTACGGCATTTCAACCTCAATGTGTAATTTAATGCCGGCAAGATTTTTATTGCTGGTTTGTTTCGTTTTACGGTATCTCAACCTCAATGGTTTATTTAATGCCAACAAGATTTTTATTGCTGGTAATATTTTTGTTCAAAAATGTATTGCTGGTAATATTTTTTTTCAAAAATGTATAACTGATAATAATTTTTTTCTTCAAAAATTCTTTGCTGGTCAGTTGGGTCCATCTCCCTTGGATATTTGCTATTAATACAATTAATTGTAATAGTGAATCTAGTCTTAAATTCATCTAGTCCATTAACTATTATAGCTCTTTGTATTAGTGATAGCGGTTTCCTTCCTAATCTTTTGTATCAAGTAGTGTGGAAAGCCAACATTTTGATATCATTATTTTCCTATCTCGATACCTATTCTACAATTTTGTTACCATTAGAGGTTTTCAACTGATATGTGTGTTTTTTTTTAATTATTTGTTGAATCTCTTTGCCATTTCCAGTTTAGGAGAAGGACAATCTGAATTCAAAATCATTTGCAAATATCAATTACAAATATATATAAAGAAAAGCCAACTATGTTGTTTTAACCAACAGACAAATTTCCAGAAGACCTAACACCTCAGACAAGAAAAAATTACGAACAAGGAAAGAAAAAGAAAGTAAGTTGTTTTGATTTGGTTTGGTTTGTTTTACGGCATCTTAACCTCAATGGGTTATTTAATACCGACAAGATTTTTATTGCTGGTAATATTTTTAATAAAAGATGTATTGCTGGTAATAGTTTTTCTTCAAAAATTCCTTGCTGGCAATAAGATTTTACAAAGATTTATTGCTGGTATTATAACCTATTTTTCCCTTTCATAGCGTTTTATCCCCAGTTTGATGTTAACTATTTGCCCATAGCTGGGACCCTAACAGGTGCTACAACCTCGGGTCAGGGCGGACCTGGGAACACCAGCAATTAAGAGGTGGTTCCACGTTCCTCAAATTTTCGGATTTGGGAATTTCGGTTAAAGGTTATTCAAACTGTATATATTATATATATTTAATTTTTCGAAAGACTGTAGAATGAGCAGTTCTTTGCCAAGGAAGCTAAAAATAAGAATGGGATCATGAAATTGCCTAAAAGATGGCAGAATCTGATGTAGCCAAAAGGTAAATAATATGCTAAATAAATATAGACGGAAATAAAAATCCGTCTTTTATTTTTACTTCATAAACAGGTATATATATTTTTTGCTCAAACTAATATTTAAAAAAAATAAAACGTGCGAAATCTAAAAACCATAATCCACAATGGCTTGTCGGTTTCAGGAGGGTTTTTTTTTCAGTAGCTTTACGCCTCTTCCAAAGTTTTCAGTAACGTTGGAGGGGTTGACAATAATTACTTTATGTTAATGAGAAAACTAGATAAGGAACAACAAAACAGCAATTACTCTGTCATCCCTACCACCTTTTAAAAGTGGATAGTGCCCTTGCAACCAGCTTTACTTAAAAAAAAAGTCTTAAGTCCCTTACCTAAAAAAAAAAAAAAAAAAAAAACTACCCACGGCGTCGTAAATTGTCATTGTTATTAACAACTCTTGTCGCTGTGATGGGATAGAGTTTGAGTCGTATTTCAAAAAGCCGAGATTGGCCGGCTTTAGGGTTAGGGTTAGGGCTAGTGTTACGGACCCAACGCGTTCTTTCTTCTCCTTCCTTTCTCGTTATGTCGATCAGATGTTATCAGTCAGCTACGCGAATCGTCTCTTTTCTTGGCCGTCTGTTTCGCTCTCTGCCTGTTTGTCGATTTAAAAGGGCAGGGGACGAGAATAAGGGCGTAGGGAGTCACGTTATATTTCGTCACATAAGACGATAACCTACGATACCCACCACCCACCCACCCACGGACACACCCAAACGCATGCTCACTGCAGACGCCCAAACCAGAGACACACTCTCCTCGCGCAGACACACAAAAACGCGCAAGGAGAAATGGCCGAAGAAAATGTTGATAACCTACAAAACGACACAAAGGATTAACGTATTGTTGAAGAATTTGATTATACCGATAGGGAGTTGCGCAGAATCGTCCTCACCGTCTTACATCATATTACAGTAAAGGGAAAGTGGACAGTTGGTTGATTATATTTAGCGACATATCAACACCTCTATGGGTTATTCAATACCGAAATCTAAATATTATTACGCAATTTTATGGTTTCAACTACAGCTTTTCTTTTTATGTGCCGTGTCCTTTCAGGACGTAGGCGATCATGTCTCTCCACTTCTCCCTATCCCTTGTGGCTCACAATAACTTTGGTATCTTCTGCCCCCCCCCAGATTACGTTCTGTCATCCATTTGCTTAAGCCCGTCAGGTATGCCATGCGTTGCTTTCCCTTGCATCTCTTTCTCTCTATTCGACCTGTAAGTATTAGATTTTCCAGACACTCCTTTCTCATTACGTGGCCCAGAAATTCCAGCGGCCTCTTCCCGATGTTAATTATAAGACTCCTCTTTGTTTGCATCCTTGTTCACACGCTTTGTCCATGATATCCTTAGCATCCTTCTGTAGAACCACACCTCCGTCGCCTCGAGTCTCTTCTTCATCTTTGAGGAGACCGTCCAACATTCGCTGCTGTAAAGGTGGACAGATGTAACAGCTCAATATTCTTTTATATCTTGTACATAATTTAATACTTTCATGGATAAAATATGTTTTTTTTAGATATCGTATATTTCCGCGTCTAAGGCGACCTTTAGATAAGACGAGGTAAAAATATAGCGAATGTTCAGGAATTTATCTTATACCTGTACAATAGTACGACTGATTATTGATTATTTCAAAATGATGTTATTGGAAATGTTGTTAATTACTGTATATTTCCGCGTATAATGCGACCTTAAGATAAGACGGGGTCAAAATTTCATGAATTTATACTATACCTGTTGTATAAGTCGACTGCTTATTGTTTATATAAAGATGATATTACTGGAAATATTATCATTATTGTATCTTTAGAAATTCAAAATAAACGATTCTATATCATGTTTTTTCCTACACATGTTCCCTTAAAGGGAAACCATTGTTTTATTTAAGTTTCATCACGTGATCTCTTGCTAATACTGATTCTTCATCTTCTTCTATATCGAAAAAGTTAAAAACAACCTGGTGTACGAATGGCCATTTACTTATACATCATCAACAATCACCGCTAATAACAAATGCGACAATGTACGATAATAGTACATTGCATTGATGTGAACGAAATCATATGTTTCGATTTTCTCAGCTGAGTTTTCATGGATATAAGTTGATTTCATTGATATGGAATTATTCTTCGAATAGGCAATTTGTTATGAAGTTATTCCAGTAATATATCAGGTAGAAATGGTTTTATTATTTTTAGTATCAGTTTATTTACATTATTGATTATCGCACCGAGGTTAGTCTGCCGACAAAAATCACTCAGGATTTAAGATTTCATTTTTAAAGGTATGAATCTTCTTCTTCAACCCACAGTTATGGGTAACTAGCAAAACAGACCGGGTTCTATAGCCTTGGATGGCAACTGATCTACCGCAGAAAGAAATAGCAACCTACTGTGGGAAAAATCTGCCTGGTCAGTCATGTATGGAAAGATACATGATCGCCTAAGCGTGTAACACGCCTGGTGCATAACTGACTTAGGAGAACGTTGAATAATCGACAGAGGCTCGGATTGAGGAATCCATTCGAATCCATTACATTCATTTACGTGCTAATACCCTTGGGAAAGGTATGAATCCTCTTTTTCTCCCGCCAGCAGCTATGGGTAAATTGCTATGGCACATAACTGACTTATGAGGCACGGTGGAGTAATCGATAGCGGCTCGGATCGAGGAAATTCGAATCCAGTCGAATCCATTACATTTACTTACCCTTGGAAAATGTAGGAATCCTCTTCTCCGTCAAGCTATGGGTAAATAAGCAGGATAGACCGGGTTATATAGCCTTGGATGGCACTGGTCTACCGCAGAAAGAAATGGCAACCTACAGCGCGAAAAAAATCTGCCTCGTCAATCATGTATCGAAAGATACATGATCGTCTAAGCGTTTATCATGCATGGCACATAACTGACTGAGTATAAGACGACCCTCATTTTTTAAGGGTGATTTTGATGATCTAAAGGTCGTCTTGTAGACGGAAATATCTTTACATAATTTGTAGATGATAAAACGTATTTTTGGTAATTTAAAAAAAAATGTATTGCTGGGAATTTCACTATAAAAATCTATTATTGGTATTTTTTACAAAGATACATTGCTGCTAATGTTACTATAAAAAATATATACTATTTTTTTAGTGTTGTATTGATTGTCATTTTGCTATGAAAATATATCGTTGGCAGTTCTGTTACAAAAACTTTTGTTGGTAATTTTATTATAAAACTTTACTGTTCACTATTTGCCTATAGCTGGGACCCTAACAGATGCTACCACCCCAAGTCAGAGTGGATCTGGGAACAACAGCAGTTAAGAGGTTCCACGCACCTCAAAACCTCCAATCTCGCGATAAGAGCTTTTGCTGCCAGTTATAGTTTATCGTCATACCCAGGAAGGAGGAAAATAGTATTAGTAATAGAAAGTTTTTTTTTTTATAAACTAAAGTTCGTTGTATACAAGGCTCGAGAGTCAATCAAAATAGAAATTTACTGTTTAACGAAGGATAATAGGGAGATAAGTTAGTTAGATAACGATTGAACCTTGGCTAGGAAAATAGTCTAAGGTTTAAGGCAACATCTACATGTGAGTCGATGTTTTGGGGGTAAAAACTGCTGTCTCAATGGAACGTTCTCACTATATTTGGAATATAAATTAAACGGTTTAATTTTGTTCCGCATAACCCACGCGTGGGTAAACTATGGCCCGCGGGACGCCTGCGGTCCGCCAAAACAATTCATGCATCCCGCTAAATATTAGTGAATTTGAAAGAGAAAGTTACCAAGCAACGCTAAATAATATTGTGAGCATTTTGTTTTCTTCCTGTACCTGTGCGTATGCGGGGAATGTGCTGGTCAAAAGGGTTAATATATTATGCGGCCCAATAAAATTGTGAATTTTTTAATATGGCCCTTTCACTGAAAAGTTTGCCCAACCCTAGTATAACCTGTCCTAAGTGTAAAAGTCTAAATTGGTGGTCCTGAAGAATGAAGCGCATTGCAACATTTGGCCTTGAAACAGCGATAGAATAGCGATAGACTTGCGCTTTGCTTTTGTGGGGGAAAAGTCTTCCTACGTAGAAGCCTAAGTTAAATGATTTTGAACTGTGTCAAGCCTGGAAAACAATGATTGTGCAGTTCAAGCCCAGCAATACTGCATTTCTCGTCTTTTCTGATTCTTGTAAATATATAACGATAGAAAGATACAGCCGGTGGGGAGTGTCAGGACATAGATAAAAGACAAGGTTCTAAATATTGACTTTTTTCAAAGAAGATATGCCAAGTTTACTTACAAGGCTGGCGCTACAGACTCTTCAATTCAAATGTCAGATTTGTCTGGCTTCGGAGTAAACTAAACATCAGGATTGTCTACGGTCAAAATCAATTGTCAGCCTTTATTAATGTTTGGCTATATTTCGTAATTTTTTTCCTTACGCTTTATCTAGGGAGGAACGATGGTGTAATGTTTAGCAGCGCGGATTGAGAAATCGGAGTGTCGCGTTCGAATTCTAGTCAACTACATAAAAATTATTACTTTGAAAATTTATGAAGCCATCTAGGTGCCTCTTTAGGTTAGAAGTGAACTTAAAAAAACAAATCTACCTAGCATGTCTCCTCAAAGTAAGGAACCAGTTCGAGCCAAAAATAATGGACTTCTCGGGCTGTTTACAATGAATCGAACAGACTAGCACTGTGACGTGGGGGTCTCTGATTTCAAACCACTTCCCCATGAGTGTATCACATACGTTACTTTAGACGACAACTTTTCTTTCGCAGTATTTTTTTTAATAATTCATTCAATACAAGGCCCAAGGTGCAGTCAAGGTAGAGGGTTACTGGAAGTCGTATTAGCGTAAGAAACTGCAAGAAGTTAAAATGTTGGGGCTATGTAAAAAAGATAACAGTTAATACTAGAGATCAAGAATTAATTAGAAAATTCAGGCGGAGACGTTAGGAGTATAGAGTTGAAGTTGATTTTAAAAGGAACCGGAAACCCAATCCGAAACAGGAAACAAGGGATGAGCCTGTAATACTGTTCAAAATGCCGGATAGGTGTACAAACCGGACGATATGCAAACCTATCTACTCTTTTTGGGAGAGGAAAAATCATAATTACGAAATAAAATTTCAGATTTCTGATGGAGACGTCAAACGTAAAGCGTTGAAGGAATCAGAAGCCCAATCCAAAACAGGAAGCAAACGATAAACCTGTACTCCTGTTCAAAAGTCCGGATATGTGTACAAACCGGACGATAGGCATACCTATCTACACCTATTGGGAGAGGGAACATCATAATTATGGAATAAATTTCAGATTTCTGACGGAGAAGTCAAATGTAAAGCGTTGAAGGAACCGGAGACCCAATCTGAAACAGGAAACAAGGTTGAACCTGTACTCCTGTTCAAAAGGCCAGGTAGGTGTATAAACCTGATGATAGGCAAACCTATCTTCTCCTTTTGGGAGAGGAAAATACATAATTATGCAATAAAATTTCAAACGGAGACGTAAAAAGTAAAGTGTTGAAGGAACCGGAAACCCAATCCGAAATAGGAAACAAACGATAAAACTGGACTTCCGTTCAAAAGGCCGGGTAGGTGTAGAAACCGGACGATAGGCAAACTTATCTACATCTGACAGGAGAGGAAAAATCATAATTACGGAGACGTCAAATGTAAAGCTTTGAAAGAACCGAAAACTCAATTTGAAACAGGAAGCAAACGATAAACCTGTACTCCTGTTCAAAAGATCGGATAGGTGAACAAACCGTACGATAGACAAACCTATCTACACCTATTGGGAGAGGAAAAATCATAATTACGGAATAAAATTTCAGATTTCTGACGGAGACGTCAAAAGTAAAGCGGTGAAGGAACCGGAAACCCAATCCAAAGCAGCAGTCAAACGATAAGCCTCTACTACTGTCCAAAAGACTAAGGAGGAGTGTGAACCGGACGATTGGCGATCATAAATACTACTGTCGGCAGAGGACACGAAAATAATTAATTAGTGAAAAACAATTCAGTGTTCACGCGGAGACGTTAGAAATATAGAGTTTAAGTAGATCTAATCCTAAACGGGGACCAATGTTTAAAGCTCTACTGTTGGAATTTTTGGGTATCCTGGTGTACTAGTGAGCTAGCCAAAATGAGCTGACTCATTTTATAGTTCACCGATAGAAGGGTTAACCAATCAGAAAGCTCCAAATATTCAATCCGACGTGTATAAAGGCAACCATTTTGTTTTTTCTCCGGAAATATCTTCACTGCCAATTCTAATATCGAAGACCTGAAGAATTACTGAACAGCTGCTACTTTCTCCGAATTGTCACTGCCAACCTCTGATATCGAAGACCTAAAGAGAATTACAGAACAGCTGCTACTAGTGATATTGGCGTTGTTCCATTGAACACATTACGTACTGCACTGGATTCTATATTCAAAGACTACAGCAAACATGGTCAACATCTACTACTGTTCAAAAAAACGAAGAGGAGTGTGAACCGGACGATAGGTGAGCTTATTATTTTGAATGTTTAGTATTTGACAAAGTATTGTCAAATATTATTACTTTCTAAGTAGCTTCTTTTTCATCTTATTTTTCGTTGCTTTTCATCTTGCTTTATTAGTAGTAATATAATCATGAATTTCTGGTAAATGAAGCATTGTCAGCCATTATTAATTTTAACAAGATTTTCTTTCATTTTAATTTTAAGTGCTTTTCCCCTTGTAGCAATGCTCTCTTGATTTTATCGTTACAGTTTTCTTTCTTTCTCTCTTTCATCGGGACCATTTCCTTCTTTCTTTTTATTCGTTTTTTCTTTCTTAACACACCTTAGTTTTTCTTTCTCTCTCTTTTCTCATATTTTTTTCATTTTTGTCGCAGATTTTTTCTTTTCTTTTTTCTTTCTTCTTTCTTTTTTCTTTCTTTCTTTCTTTATGTTTCTTTCACGTACATTTCCTTCTTTCTTTTTGTTCATTTTTCTTTCTTATCACACTTTAGTTATTCTTTCTCTCTTTCTTTGGCCAGATTTTCTTTTTATTCCGTTTCAGTTTCTTTCATTCTTTCTTTCTTTCATTCTTCGTTATTTTTCATTTACATATCTTCTTAATTTACTTCTTCTTTCTAATTTCTTCCTTTCCTTAGAACCATTAATCTTTTCTTTTTTTCATGCTTTCTTTTCTTTTCTTTTCTCTCTTTCTTTCTTTCTTTCTTTCAGGCTCAGTTCCTTTCTTTCTTTTTTCTTTCATATTTCTTATCGCGCCTTAGTTATTTACTCTCTTTCTTTTTCCATATTTTCTTTCATTTTGTCTCAGCTTCTTTCTTTCTTTCTTTTTTTCTTTCTTTCTTTCTTTCTTTCTTTTTTTCTCGTCCATTTCCTTCTATTTTTTTTCTTTCTATTTTTTGTTCATTTTTTATCAGACGTTATTTTTTCTTTCTTTTTTCTTTTTCCATATTTTCTTTCATTTTGTATCAGTTTTCTCCTTTGTTTGTTTGTTCGTTTCTTTCATTCATTCTTTCATTTTTCTTCCTGCAGTTCTCTTTGTTTTTCATTATCTTTATATGTCAAATGTTTTCAGTAAGGACTTATTTTTCTTTCTCTTTTTTCTTTTATTTTCCTTTATGGTTTTCCTTCTTTCTTTCTGTCTTTCACATACATTTCCTTCTATCTTTCTTTTTGTCCATTTTTTCCTTCTTCCCACACATTATTTTTTTCTTTCTCTCTTTTTTCTTTTTCCGTTATTTTCTTTCATTTTTTCTCAGTTTTCTCTTTTCTTTCTTTCGCTCTTTCTTTCCTTCTTTCTTTCGCGTCAGTTTCCTTCTATCTTTCTTTTCTTTCTGGCTTTTTTTCATTTTTCACACGTTATTTTTTCTTTCTTTCTTTCTTTTTTCTTTTCCCATATTTTCTTTCCTTTTAACTCAACATTTTCTTTTCTTTCCTTTCCTTTCTTTCTTTCTTTCTTTCTTTCTTTCTTTCTTTCTCCCATTTTTCTTCCTGGCGATCTTTCTGTCTTTCCTTTATTTTTCTCATTCATTATTTTCCCTTTTCCCCTCATTCCTTTTCATTCGACTCTAAAACACATCCCATCTTTCTTTCTTGACCTTTCTTATCATTCCTATAAGAACCCCAATTCTCCCATACCACCATTTTGGCAAGCAAGCCTCCCGCCTGTCAGCGAAAAACTTATCAGCTTTTTCCAATTCCCAAGCGATGCCGATGGAACACAAATATGGCGGCGATCAAAAATCGAGATAAACGCGTGTTCATTTTTCGCCGGCCATATTGAGGCGTGTCGTTCGCTCACCGCCCGCTATAATCCCTTCTGTCCACTTTCGACCTTTCTCTTTTGTTCTGGCTTGTCTTCTGGCAAGAGAGCAAGTCTAGGGATACAAACTTGTTTAAAGACATATTTTAATGCCAGTGAAAAGATTAGTAAGGAGAGGAAATGATGGATAACGGACGGAACATAATAAAAATGAACACGATATAATAAAAAAAATATAATAAAAATATTACTAGTGAAATTAAAAATACAAACGGTAGATCCATATAACCATTAATAATAGTAAATTAAAATGAAAAATTTAGGTCAATAATTTTCGTATTATAACGATTTGAGATATTCGGTTGAGTAATAGATAGTAGCTCAGATTGAGGAATCGGAGAGCCGAGTTCGAATTCCAGTCGAATCAATTACATTCACTTAGGTGCTAATAATCTTGGGAAAGGTAGGATTCCTCTTTTTCTCCCTCCAGCTATGGTTAAATAACAGAACAGACCGGGTTCTTTAGCCTTCTATGGCAACTGGTCTACTGCAGAAAGAAATGGTAACCTACTGCGGGAAAAAACCCTGCCTCGTCAGTTATGTATCGAAAAATACATGATCGCCTAATCGTGTATCACTCACGGCACATAACTGACTTAGGAGACACCGTGGAGTAGTCGGTAGCGGCTCGGATTGGGGAATCCATTCGAATCCATTACATTCACTTACGTGCTAATACCCTTGGGAAAGGTATGAATCCTCTTCTTCTCCCCATATCTATGGGTAAATACCAGGACAGAGGGGATTCTATAACCTTCGATGGCAACTGGTCTACCGCAGAAAAAACTGCCTCGTCTGTCATGTATCTTGCATCAAAGATACATGATCGCCTAAGCGTGTATCACGCATAGCACATGACTGATTTTTTTTTATCAATTCATCCCAATCAAGGCGATAACGCCCCTAAGACGCAAGGGGGTCTCCTGGAAGTGAATGAAAGAAGACTTTAGAAGGAACAGGGAACTCAATAATAGTATAAATTTCAAAGTTTAGTCCGGGACATACAAAGTATAAAGTTGAAGTAGAACTTAGAAGTAACCGGAAACCCAATCACGAACAACCCTATACGCAAGCCATCAACCTGCCACTGGGTGGCATGCTACAAGCATTTACCACTAACTTCCCTTATAAGGAAAGAGTTAATGCCATCATTACCATTGCCATATAGAACATATAATAATACAATACCATAATACTATATAATACTATAATACTAAAATAACATAATATTATAATATATTATAATAATATTATCTTATATGTATATTATATTTATAGTTAATGCCATCATTACCATTGCCATATAGTATATATAATACAATATTGTATTATATTATAAGATTATATTATATTTATATTATGTTTATATCATATTATATATTATATCAGAAGGAAATTACTGGAAAGTAATTGAAACTCACCTGAAGCGAGCTGAATGTGTAATGCTCCTCATGCCAATGACACTTCCACTGAGCTTCCCTACGGCATATGACTTTACTGAATTTGATGTGTTCCTCTCGAATTTTAAACTGGGGTCATCAGGAGAGAATGTGCACCGTTTCGGGGCCTTCCTCTTATATCAATTTATATTATTATTTTATTATAAATATTATTATAAATATTATCATATTATTATAATATATTATATTATATTACATATATAATAATATTATATTATAATATTATTATAATATTTTACTAATATAATACTATAATAACAATGCCATAGCGAATTCTGGCGTTATCAAAAAATGAAACAATAAGAACAAGGTATAGATCTCTAATACAAGAGCCACTCAAGATAGAAGATTACTGAATGATGTTGTTGCATGAGCATACGAAGAGGAGGTAATAAATGCAGATTATGAGGTTATGTAGAAGAAGATCATGATTGACCATGAACTTGAAGAGGTTAGGATTCTTATGTTCAAGGAACCATCCTCTCGGGAGTCCGTTTCAGCACACAGAGCTTCTTGGCAAGATTATATCTAAGTGAAACTTCCTCATTACTAATGGAATCTGAAATGAAAGAGGATGATTCAATCCTTTGTGCGTGGCATGGCTTTCTATTGCATATCGAGAGATTGAAACACTAAATATTTTTTCGCATTCATTGAACACATATATATATATATATATATATATATATATATATATATATATATATATATATCGTGTGATAGATAAATATAAATATTTAAGTAAATGCTCTGTTTATAATAAACAGTATTAAACAACATTTACCGGACTAAATGTCCGAAAAATTTTTACATAAAATATTCGTCCTCCGACAGGAATCGAACCTGTATTCTATACGGAACCGTCATTTAGCCTGACGTGCCTTTACCGATTTGGCCACATAGTCGCGTTTGGTTAGCAAGGTCGAATTTACTGTCAAGCTAAATGACGTTTCAGTATAGGATACAGTTTCGATTCCTGTCGGAGGATGAATATTTTCTCGGACATTCAGGCCGGTAAATGTTATTTAATACTGTTTATTATAAACAGAGCATTTACTTAAATATTTGTATCTATAAAAAGAATGTTAAACATAAAAATGTCTTAAAATGATTGTCGGACTTTGTCCATTTCATAATGTGCGAAATCATATATGTATTTCTATATGTACAGTGTGCAATGGATTGTCGTCTAAATTGCGCAAAATGACAAATAACATTAACATCTCATTTTAACAGATATATTTACCAAAATTACACAAATATATCGTGAGATGCTAAAGAGTAAATTTATTTAACAAAATCGTCATTGGCTTCAAGCTTAGACTCCGGACGTCTTCGGAATCTCTTGCATCTCTTCCGGACGGTCTCCTTGTTTAAGTAGGTGAATACTGCCATAATCCTTATCTCCAGCTCATCTTTGGTGTTACAAGGAATTTTGTTGGTCTCTCTCTCTCTCAACTGCGCCTCACACATCATAATCAAGGCGGTTGTAATCTGGGGAGTTAGGTGACTAGATGTAAGAAACGATGTGGTCGCGGAAATTGTCTGACAACCATGAGTGGGTTCTTCTGCTTGATATAAAGTGTGTAAAAACTGTTCGAAAATTCTATATAATCCAAGCGATTTTGAGTATTTTATTAACTATTACCATTTTATTTTTAATTTAACATATCGATTTTTTTTTATTGTATTGGCTGCGATGAATAAATTGTCGTCTAAATTACGCAAAAATGAAAATAAACTTGACGTCTCAATTTAACAGATATATTTATCAAAATAACACAAAAATATCTTGAGATACTAAAAAAAATAAATTTACTCAATAGAATCGTTGGTTTCAACGACTTTGGAATCTCCTGCACCGCTTCTGGGCGGTCTCCTTGTTTAACGCGCGCAAGTTTCCACTACCAAAATACTCGTTAAGAAAATACAATAGACTACCCACAATGCATTTTTTGGTGAAAACTGCCATAATCCTTGCCTTTATTTCATTTTTGGTGTTTACAAGGAGTTTTGTTGGTCTCTCACTCAGCTACGCCCCACACATAATAATCAAGAGGGTTGCACGCTGGCCAGATGCAAGAGGCGATGTGGTCGCAGAAATTGTCTAAGAACCATGACTGGGTTCTCCTGCTTGTGTTGCATGGTGCTTGTTGCCAGACATAGGGTCTTCCACCTTCCTGAAGGCACTTGATGCCCGCCTAAGTGTTGAGTTTGATTCCCTGTGTTAAAATAAATGAAGGCATAACGTGGCCATAACTAGTGATCATTCCAAACACCTTCGTAATCACCATTAGACTCACCCAGGTTTTTTTTTAATAATCTGCACTGTCCTCAGATTAACACCCAAACAATCTGAAATGTTCGTCTTGGATCTCCCGGTACGAACATCAAGCAGTACAACATGCTGTTTCCGAATTTCTGGCGGACAGAGCAAATGTAAATATAAAACTGGACATTGAAGTCAACACCCAGCGGGGATAGTCTGTTTCATGTTTATACGTAATCATCAGCCAGCTAGAATAATTGGAAACATAACCGTTTCCACTACCAAAATAACCGTTAAGAAAATACAATAGACTACCCACAATGCATCACTAATAATCATGAGAAAGGCTGTCGCCGCTGCGTGTTGACTATATATATATATATATATATATATATATATATAGCTGGCAACTCGTATTCGAGGATACCCGGTTACTAGTCAATCCCTATTGCTCAGGCGCATTTGTATATTATTCAACACTAACAGAGCGGTTTTTATACTGAAACAATGTTGAGCAGACCTTAGTTACAGTTTCCGGGAAAGAACTTATCTAGCGTGATCAACAATTTGAACAAATTTGCACACACAAGCACTCGTTGTGACTAACTTTTAACTTCGCGCTTGCACAGTTTCACTCACAGGCACTTTCCAAAGGTGCCGCACGCTTGATCGAACCCTCCAGTCCAATAACATCATAAAATCTCCTTAATGACGAATCGATGAGAGTCGAACCTGAGTTTCATGGTTAGAATGGAACGTTATAATCACTCGGCCGTATATATATATATATATATATATATATATATATATATATATATATATATATATATATATATATATAAAGTGTTTAAAATCAAAGCTTATGAAAATTTATAATATAAAAGTGGTGACTGAGGTAAACATCAAACAGTGACAGTCTGTTTTGTGTTTGTATGCCGTCTTCAGGTCATGTATGTTGAGTTTTGGTTTAACTATATATATATATATATATATATATATATATATATATATATATATATATATGTGTGTGTGTGTGTGTGTGTGTGTGTGTGTGTGCGTGTCCCTGTGTGTGTGTGTGTCCCTGTTTAGTGTAATGTTGCCACACATGATCCAGTGTGCCTACTATCTACTTGAATATCCTTGATAATTCCAAATAATACTGATATATATATATATATATATATATATATATATATATGTGTGTGTGTGTGTGTGTGTGTGTATATATATAGTCGACTCTCCCGTCGATTTCGACGTATGAGGGTCAAGCAGATCAGTTCCCAGTAAACCGACATCCCAACAACGGCACATGAGATTTGATTATAGTGGTGAAGGTTTCGTACAGGACCAGCCACACTTTTTGAAGGGCCGAATTCAGAGACCTGGTGCACTAAGTGTCATAAGGCCCCATATATATATATATATATATATATATATATATATATATATATTCATTCACACACACACACACACACACACACACACACACACACACACACACATATATATATATATATATATATATATATATATATATATCATCCACTGACAGACTCTTTCGCTGTATCACAGCTCATCAGTGTGGCTAGACGTCCGATTGCCTCTAGCTAGGATCAAAACCCGACTGAATTGGCGCCAGTCGGGGATTCTAATACTAAGTCCTTGGCGCACGGCAGGGATGAAGGTGAATTTAAGCGTATTTATTTTTAGATAAACACACAGTGTCTGAGAGAACTCGATTCTATTTACTGACGAGTCTTGCATTATTAGCCGTAATAGTCACTGTTTGAAAACCCACAATTCCTGTCCAAAGAGCTCAACTGAAATAAATCTTTCAGGAGCATATATATTGTCATCCACAGACTGACTGTTTCGCTGTATCACAGCTCATCAGTGTGCTTAGACGTCCGGTTGCCTCTAGCTAGGATCGAAACCCGACTGAATTATCGTCAGTCGGGGAACTCGATGAATTAGTTAATTATAATTATCCTAAATCCTCCTAATAATTTCTATCACTTGTATATCCTTGCTTGAACCGGCTTCTAATGCTTTGGATGGAGCGGCTTGGTGAAAGTAGTCGTGTGCAAAACATGGCACGTGGAACTAGAACAATCTACCCCGATGAGCGAAATAAAGGGTTCAGTTCGACATTCCAACCACCTGAAGAAGGCAGAGCGTATAACGACAGAAACGATGTAATTAATATGGCAATAGGAGCACAATAGTCAGAATAATGTAAATAGTGTACATAATACCTCATCTCAGAAATATAAACAGATACTAATAGGATTCACTCAGACTATCTGCCCACGGACTTTACCCGTATATAGTGGAGGGACTCACAGACATGCATGTATGCGAATGTTAGAAAGTATCCAACACCGATAATCAGCGGCCAATTCCTTATGTATACAATCAAAGTCACATGTATACATCTACGCCCAGTACCCCACTGTTCATATATGTATATGTTTTGTATGAATTGCAATACATACATATGCATGTGTGTGTGTCTATGTGCGTAAGAGCGTCATCCCGGGGAGGAGACAGAGGAGAAATGTTCCTCCCATTACCGAAATTACCGAAAATACACAACCATAAATGAAATTTCAAAATTAATCAGTTTGTCGGACGTGAGAAGCATGGTCACAAAATCATATCAACGCAACTAAATATGTTGGTTCTATCACTGATATTGAGCGCTTTCCAATAAGTACCACGCATATATAATATATAAACAATATATATAGGAATTGCATATATATATATATATATATATATATATATATATATATATATATATATATATATATAATCGACTCTCCTGTCGCGTTCGACGTATTAGGGTCAGGCCGATAAGTCCCCAGGAAACCGACATCCCGACACCGGCACATGAGATTTGATTATAGTGGTGAAGGCCTCGTGCAGGACCAGCCACACTTTTTAGAGGGACGAATACATATATACATACATATATATATATATAGGGTGTTTCATTAAGACGGATCAAAGTCAAAAGTAAATAAATCAATATTATTGGTGAAAATTTATTTATTTCTCTACTGGATCGTGTTATTTAAGTCATGTCAATTATGTGTGAAAAATAATATCGCCCAAATGCCCGCCAAGGCTTCGGCGGCCCACCTCCACTCGATGGTCAAAATTTTTGACGACGTCTTTGCATAGTTGCTCCTCGATCTCAACAATATGCCTTATTATCTCATTCTTCAGCTGTTGAATTGTTGATGGCTTGTTGGCATAGACCTTACTTTTGAGATGATTGCAAAGAAAGAAATCTAAAGTCGCACGATTGTGATGGCTGTCAGGAAACCGAATGATTGCGTCAAGCATGAAACAGCCTGTTGCCTCTGAGTGTTGACTTCAATGTTCACTTACACACACACACACACACACACACACACACACACACACACACACACACATATATATATATATATATATATATATATATATATATATATATATATATGTAATGAGAGATACGTGCTGGAGTTCGGCTGAATTTTGACATAAGAGTGAGTTTCAGTTAAGCATCCACAGTACACGTGTTCACCTCGGCTCTGGAAGGATCGCTGTTGAGTTGTCTTTTTTTTTTGCTGTTATTTTTCGAAATTCCTTTAGTGATACCATGTTTTATTGCACCATTTAGAATTCCTTCCGTCGATAAGATTCCCATTTAATTCTTTTGGTGCAACTGGTGATTGTACAATTCTTTTGGTGTAAAGAGTGACGGTGCAATTCTTTTGGAGCAAAATGGTGATGGTGCAGTTCTTTTGGTGCAAATGGTGATGGTGCAGTTCTTTTTCACCATCACCATTTGCACCAAAATAACTGCACCATCACCATATGTACCAAAAGAACTGCACCATCACCATTTGCACCGAAAGAACTGCATCATCACCATTTGCACCAAAAGAACTGCACCATCACCATTTGCTCCAAAAGAATTGCACCGTCACTCTTTACACCAAAAGAATTGCACCGTCACCATTTGCACCAAAAGAACTGCAGCATCACCATTTGCACCAAAAGAATTGCACCATCACCATTTACAACAAAAGTACTGCATCATCACTATGTGTACCAAAAAATTGCACCATCACCATTTGCACCAAAAGAACTGTTTTATCACCATTTGGACCAAAAAATTGCACCATCACCATTTGCACCAAAAGAACTGCACCATCACTATTTGTACCAAAAGAATTGCACAATCACAATTTGCACCAAAAGAACTTCATGATCACTATTTGCACCAAAAGAATTGCACAATCACGATTTGCACCAAATGAACTGCACCATCACTATTTGCACCAATAGAATTGCACCATCACCATTTGCACCAAAAGGACTCCATCATCACTATTTGTTCCAAAATAATTACACTATCACCATTTGTACCAAAATAATTGCACCATCACCATTGGCACCAAAAGAAATGCACCGTCACCATTTGCACCAAAAGAACTGCATCATCACCATTTGAACCAAATTAAAATAAGATCTCAATAAATCAGTTGCAACAGGAAAAAGGCTTATTTTGTAGAAAAGATTAGAAAAGCCTCGAACACCGGGCAAGCATGGAAAGCAGCAGCATTTTCTTATTGTACTTTTTACGATAATATTTACCCTGAATAAAGCCAAAGATGCTCTCGAGGTAGAGGGTTACATGTAAGAAGCCCAATTTATGAGAATATAGAGGAAGATAACTGCTAACCTTAGACTTGAACATGATTAGGATTATAGTAATGGATAGTTCTTGAAGGATCGAACCTGCTACGTTTGCGATGGTCGGTAAGACGTGTTAACTCACCATCTTTCTAAAACATAAACCGCTCCCCCTCCACAAAATAACTCAGTAAGTATATAAAGCCAGAAAAAATGTCGATGTTTAAAAATAAGATGCCAGGTTTATTCCTGCTGTGTTTATTATATTTTGCTTCTTGCCTTTTGTCAATGGCGCGTAATAATTCTTTACGCTTCACAATCAATTTTCGCGGGGTTACCTGGCGCCAACTGGCTGACGTCGGCCATATTGGATATCCTGTCTACTTTTTTTTTTTTAAATCTTTTGTTTACCGATACTTTTTTTTGTTTCTTTTGACTTCTCAGCGTGTATCCTTATCAGCCTATTCCCTGTTTTAGCTGCCGAACTGTTGGTTGGCGAAGTCTTTCAGGAGTTGAGAAAAACTTACGTCAGCAACAGAAAAGAGTCTGTTATTTCCATTTCGGTTTAACTTTTTTTTTTCATATTTATTTATGTATTTGCTTACTACTCGTTCATTACCGAGAGCTTCGTTGGCGGCAAGTTGATCAAATTTCAAGTGTAAATGGTTACTCTTTATTCTTATACTAATATTGACTCAATTCAACACCCAAGAGCCACTCAATGTAGAGGGTTACCGTGTAATGTTCTAGGAACGTAAGAAAACTGTAGTAAAGACAACGGTTAACACTTGACTCGAAAAGTCAAGATTGTAGTAATCAGGAAAAATTCCACAAAGCAAATAGTTCTTGGAAAATTGGAAATTACTTCTAAGTCTAGGAACCCGAAAAGTGAAGAGGATGATTCAGCCTTGTGTACATGGTATGTTGGGCCCGATTTACAATGGTAAGGGATGGTGGAACCAAGAAATGTAGCTCATCTAAACACCTACCACTGAAATAACGGGGGTAGGGTGTCGCAACGTTTCCTCAGTAGGAAAGTGATTTTACGATAGAGACTGTTTCATCACCCACAAGGCCGTGAAGACGCGTTTGAACTCAAAATCAAGAGAAGCAAGTGACATAGCAGTTCTTGTAAAGATAGAATACAGCAGGGAGTGGTCAGATACTTTCTGAAGCATTACGATGAACCAAGAATTTTTCCAGCAAGTTTCGAAATAGATCGGATATACGAATAAGTTTTGTGGTAGATCGGATATAAGAGCATGTTTCGCAGTAGCTCGAACATAAGAGCACCTGCTGTAATACATCGGCCATACGAGCACGTTTCGCGATAGATCGGATATACGGTCAAGTTTCGCGACAGATCTAATATACGAGCACGTTGCGCGATTGATCGGATATATATAAACGATTCTCAATAGCTCGGACATAATAGCACCTTTTGTAATAGATCGGACATAGGAGCCGGTTTTGCAATAGATCGGATATACGATCAGGGTTAACGACAGATCTGATATACGAGCACGTTTTTTGGTAGATCGGATATACGAGAACGTTTCGCAATAGCTTAGACATAAAAGCACCTTTTGTAACAGATCGGACATACGAGCAGGTTTCGCAATAGATCGGATATACGATCAAATTTCGCGACAGATCTAATATACGAGTAGGTTTCGCGATAGATCGGATATACGATCAGCACGTGTTGTGGTAGATCGGATATACGAGAACGTTTCTCAATAGCTTAGACATAAGAGCAGGATTCACGATAGATCGTATATGAGTTCCACTTGGGGTTTAAAAAGAAATTTAATCACAAAAGACGCCCAAGACGCGGAGTCTCCTTGAGAGAATGCACACCCATCATGATACATGAAATTTCAGTATCTGGTCAGTGTATTTAAAATATTTGGTTCTCAGATTCGTTTGTTTTCTTTCTTGTTTGTTTTCCTCACTGTTATTCGAATTTTCAAGCGGAGTACTGTCTTGTGGCCGTAAGCCAGTTTAAATTGTATGTGTATATACGTTTGCATATGCGCTTGTATATTCTAATTAAATTGAAGAGCAAAATATTTCTATAAATAAAAAAAAGAAGATGCATTTCTTAGCGAATAATTTCTGAAAAAAACAGAAATAGTTTTGAATTTAAAATTTATTTTTTGATCTTTGATTTTATTGTTCAGACCAGGGTGAACGTTTTCTAAACTGAGTTGGAGGTTAATATATTATTCCAATATCTCATAATAAAATCAGTCAAATTGCGCATGCGCGTATATATTAAGGTTTACAAGTATATATAAATCTCTAATGCTCAACGCCTGATGCACCATATGTGTAACGCTCAACCCCTGATTCGGCATATGCGTAAATCTCATTGCCTGATTCGGCATAAGCGTAACACGCAATACCTGATTCGGCATATACGTACTGCTCAACGCCTGACTCGTCATATGCGTAACGCTCAAGACCTGATTCGGCATATGAGTAACGCCCAATGCCTGATTTGGCATATGCGTAACGCTCAACGCCTGATTCGGCATATGCGTATCGCTCAACGCTTGATTAGGCATAAGCGTAGATCTCATCGCCTGATTCAGCATAAGCGTAACGCTCAATTCCTGGTTCAGCATATGCGTAACGCTCAACAACTGACTCAACATATGCGTAACGGTCAACGCGTGATTCGTCCTATGCGTAACGCTCAATAACTGATTCGGCATATGCGTAACGCTCAAGGACAAATTTGGCATATGCGTAACTCTCAACACGTAATTCGACATATTCTTAACGTTCACCGCCTAATTCGGCACATGCGTAACGCTCAATACCTCATTCGGCATACGCGTAACGCTCAACACATAATCCGACATATTTTTAACTTTCAACGCCTGATACGGCATATGCGTAACGCTCAACGCCTGGTTCGACATATCTGTAACGCTCAAATACTAATAAGACATTACCGTTCAGCGCCTCACGCGGCATATGCGTAAAATTCAAGGCCGAATTCGGCATATGCGTAACTCTCAACACGTGATCCTGCAGATGCGTAACGCTCAACACCTGATTCGGCATATGCATAACTCTAAACGTCTGATTCAGGATATACTTAACGTTCTTGATTCGGCATATGCATAACGTTCAACACCTAGTTCGACATGTTCTTAACGTTCAACGCCTAATCCGGTATATGCGTAACGCTCAACGCCTGTGTCGGCATATGCGTAACTCTCAACCGCTGATTCGTGATATGCGTAAAGCTCAACTCCTAATTCGACATATGGATAACGCTCAACACATAATTCGATATATTTTTAACGTCCAATGCCTGATTCGGGATATGCGTAACGCTTAACATCTGATTCGGGATATGAGTAACACACAACACCTAATTCGACATATTCTTAACTTACGTTTCCTTATTCGGCATAAGCGTAACCCTCAGCGTCTGACTTGGCATATGCATAACGCTCAACACCTGATTCTGCATATATGTATCACTCAACGCCTTATTCGGCAGATGCGTAACGCTCTACACTTCATTCGGCATATGCGTATCACTCAACGCCTGATTCGGCATAAGCGTAACACACAACGCCTGATTCGGAATACGCGTAACGCTCAACCCAATTCGATGTATTTTTTTTCGTCCAACGCCTGATTCGACATATGCGTATCGTTCAACCCATAATTCGACATATTTATGCCTAACGTTCAACGCCTGATTCGTCATATGCGTAACACTCAACGCTTTATTTGGGATATGTGTAACGTTTAACGTCTGATTTGGGATATGCGTAATGCTCAACGTCTGATTCCTGACATGCTACAAGCTCAACACCTGATTCGGCATATGCGTAACGCTCCACACATAATTCTTCATATTCCTAAATTTCAACGTCTGATCCGGCATATGCGTAACGCTCAACACCTAATTCAACATATTCTTAACGTCCAGCTCTTCATTCTGTATATGCGTAACCCTCAACCTCTGACTCGGCATATGCGTAACGCTCAATAACTAATTCGACATATTCTTGACTTTCAACGCCTGATTCGGCCTATGCGCAACGCTGAGCACCAAATTTGTCGTACAATATATTTAAAAAAAAAAAAAAATGAAGATTTTAAACCATCAAACCTTCCCAATCAGTAATGTACAGGTGTGTTCGACAAAGTGCAAGACCAAATTGGTTAATATAGAGACTAAAACTGTCGTGGTCTTTCGGAATTGGCTTTGCAACTATCGAGACAGACCTCAGCATGACACATTTACGATTTTGCACAAGACCCTAACCAATTTTAACCACCGAATAGAATATTTTAAACACTGAATCGTATATTTCAGCATGAAAACCTGATGACTAATCATGACAAATTTATCCCAGACTGAAAAGAAGTACCAAATTTATGGTAACTATTTAGAATGTAATAATTAAATGAGAAGTTAGATTGCATAATACCTCTGAAAATTGATTTATTGCAACCTGAGAAAATCTCACTTAATCGTGAGGAATTCGTCACAATCCACTATAGAACAGTTACATATAATTTTAGATACAGGTATCAGATTATGTTTGATTTATATGCAAATTAAAAACATACGATAGTGCTTAGCGTACATCTAGATCCTTACACTGGTATTAGAGTTTGAATTCCTCATTACAGATAATTTTGACAAGTTTTTTCCCAACGGCAGAGATAGCTTCTCTGAAAACGTTAATTTAATTTTGAAACACCGGATTTGCTTTAGTTTCAACAGCTCAAAATCTACGCTCTCGTCATCAACCTTCGATTTAAAGGAAACGGGTTTCTTTTTTTATGGGCAAAATTGCGTCTTATAAGCAGGAAAATAAATTATCTGGAATCGGATTCAGTATCTCATCTTTACCATTTTGGGCATCAAATCTCCA